GAATCACAGCCCCCGCTGCCCCCCCCCGCCCCGCCCCAACCCGGCCCCCCTCGCCCCCCTCACCCCGTCGGTCCTCCCGCTCCCTCTGGACCCCTCGGTCCCCCAGGTCACCCCAGTTTCCAAGGTTCTCCCAGTTCCCCCGGCCCGGCTACACGGCCCCCGGTACCTTCGGCCCCCCTGACCTCCCCCGCCCCAGCGGTCCTCCCGTCCTCCTCGGTCTCCCCGTTCCTCCTGCCCCAGCACGGCAACAGACCCGGTTGAGCAGTTTATTTACAGTCGGTAACGCAGTAGAGACCCGCCTGCCCTCCGCCCCGGCACCCCGCGGTGTTGGGAGCCCCGGCCGTGGGGCAGGGCATGAGGCAGGCCGGCCAGCCCGGGTTAGCAGAGCCGGAGGAGAGGGCACAGGCAGGAGCGGGGTGCAGGCAGGAATGGGGCGCAGGCAGGAGCAGGGCGAGGCCGCTGCCCCAAGGAGCAGTGAGGCTGAGACCCCCGGCAGGCACTCAGGGTCAGCCTTCCCCTGGGGCAGACGCCAGGCTGCTCTCCCGGGACACGCACACGCACACACCGTGTCCTCCCCGGCGCTGGCCCTGCCCGCACTGCCACTGCCGAGGGACAGTCCCGCCTTGGCTGCAGGACATCTGGCAGGAGGAAGAGGCAGCCGAGGGTGTCCAGTCCTGTGGTCTCACTGCCAGAAGCGGGTCTCAGCCCTGTTTTGACCGACCATAGCAGCTGATTATCTCCCTAATGGGGCCACATCTCCATAGTTAAGCCCTGGCCACCGGCAGAAAAAGGGTGATATATCCTTGCCTCACCAGCCAGTCCCATGGCTCATGGAAGAGCTACTCGGGACCTGCCCGGCGAGGCTTGATGTCACGGGTCTTCATGTAAGAGAGAAGCTGCTCGGGGATCTCAGCCAGCACATCCTTGGCCAGGCGGGCCATGCTCAGCACCTGGTTGCCTGAGTCATCCACGTAATCCCGAAATGGCACAAACTTTGAGGGCAAGAAGTTTGCAGTCAGGTTGGAAACAACTCTATTGCTGTGGGGTTCAGCAAGGGGGACTGAGCATCTCCAACCCATGGCAGGTCTGGATTCAATGCCAGAGTTACCTGTACAATGTCCCTCTCAGCATACCGTCCCCGGGAAGACAACCGTACCTCATCACCATCCAGCTCCTCCATGGCTGGGGGTGACAGCTGGTGTCACCAAGCCTCGGTGGGGTGAACACCGGGGATGGAAACACCAGCCCTTTGGATGCCTTTGGCATCCCAGAGAAAGGGACGATGTTTCCATCCCTCTTCCCTGGTGTCCCCAAGTCCCAACTCACCCTCAAACTCAGCTGGACCTACTCCCACGATGATGATGGACATGGGCAGGGAGGAAGCCTGCGGAGCAGAGGCAGGGTGTCAGCCAGGATAGTGCCCATGTGAGGTGAACTCAGAGCAACAAGGGTGCACTCACGGTGACAATGGCTTCCTTGGTTTGCAGCATGTCAGAGATGACACCGTCAGTGATGATGAGGAGGACGTGGTATTGTGAGCCATCAGTCACCTGGGCGGCTGTCCTATGGGGAAAAGGGATGGGGTCCCTCAAACACCCCACTGGTATGGGCCAGTCAACCCTGCTGTGGGACAGATGGCATTCGGGGATGGCAAAGGGGACAGTGCCCCAGTGCTCACCCAGCCACCTGGTTGATGACGGGAGCAAAGTTGGTAGGACCATAGAGCTGGACGGTGCGCAGGCTTTGGAGGTAGGACTCCAGCACGCCTTCAATGCCAGCACAGCTGGGGTTCTCCGCATTGTTGTTCTGGGGGACAGAGATGAACACTTGGAGGGGCACTACAGCTCCTGGTGTCCCCCAGGCTGTAGGATGCTGGGGCAGAATGTGGCCAGGGTGCTTCCCCTCTGCACCAAGCTGCCGCGGGCACCCCAAGACCAGCTCTGCCCCACAGCCAGGGGGTCTGGGTTCACTCTTAGCCTTGTCCCACAGGGAGGGCGCACCAGAGGAAACTGGTGGGAGATCTTGCCGTCAGGTGGGACTTTGGCACCAAAGCCGTAGGCAGGGAAGAGCTTGTCACTGTCGTAGTCCTGGATGATTTCCCCCACTGCCTTCAGTGCCAGGGCATAGGCGCTCAGCTGGTAGGGGCTCACGTAGTGCAGCGAGGTGGGCTGTGATGGCAACCCTGCAGCACAGTGCCCATCGCACCCACCCCATGGCCAGCCCCATGGTGATGGGGACCCCCCAGACACCAGGTACACTCACCATTGGAGGCCGTGAAGTCAATGGCAACAGTGAAATTCAGCTGTGTCCTTTAGGGGGAGAGTGAAGGAGGCTGCCGGCCCCATGGCACAGGGATACCATCTTCCAGACCCCTAAGTGCCGGTGTTTCCCTGCCCAGACTCATTGCCTGGGTGCCCCTTCCCCAGCCAGCACCCCACAGCCCCATGCCACCGTTCTGCATCTACTTCCCAGCCCCACTACCCCCTTGTCACTTCTTGGCTGAACCTTCATTGTCACCACTGTCCTTGCCCCAAGACCCCCAACCATGTGGGATCTCGAGGAGCCGGGGGGCTCCTGGCCCCCCACTCACCCGCCCCGTATGTAGTCAACGAAGGTGAACTCAGACTCAACGGAGAAGGAGAGCAGCGTCACCTGTGGGTGCAGGGGATCAGGTCTGGAGCCCCCCCAACCTGGCACACACAGCAGGTGGAGCAGCACCAGCCCTTGGAAGGCAGGAGGCCCAGGAACTCCCCAGCTCCACTCACAGTGCCAGAATTCACATATTTCTTCTTCTTGCATTTCTTTCTGGGATTCAGCACCTGAAGGCAAAGCGGTGGGTCAGTCTCAGCATGGAGTGCACGCTGCCCTCACCCTGACCCACCACCCTACCTCATACACTGTGAACTGACTCTGTGCTCGAGAGAGCTCCCGGTAGCTGGTAGCAAATTCCCCAATGAAGTCGTGGCTGCAGGAGGAACACAGGGTCAGTATAGCCAGGCACCTGGGTGAGAGGTGCCCTGGGAATCTTCAGCAGCACCCTGATGTCCCTTCCCTCACCTCCCATCCCGGTCCCAGTCGTACACATCTATCTTCACCGTCCTGAAAGTGAAAGCACATAGTGGGTGAGCCACTAGCCAGGCTGGCACAGCCCTTCCAGCCCCTGATTTGGGGACACCCAGACTCACAGCCCAACCCACAGTGAGCACCCTGCCCACCAGCTTCCAGCAGAACTGCCCTGCCTGCCCAGCCTGTGGCTCTGCCAGGAGGGAGCGGGAAATTTGGGTCACAGTGGGGGCCCTGGAAAGGAGGGGGATGCCTTTATGTAATTTGGGTTGCAAAAGAGAAAAAAACCCAATCAGGACCCAGTTCTGAGCTGCCTGCCACTGCAGGGCCAAGTCCACAAAGAGCTCCTCATACCCTGCTCTAGCCCCATGGCTTCCCCTGTCCCTGTCCCCATCCCCATTCCTTACCGATCATAGTCGCCGTTGCAGAGGGCACGCACGGGGATGGTGAAGGGCTGCCACACCGGGTTGAGTGTGTTCTTCACCACCTCTGTCTTATGGCAGATTGTAAAGCTGAGGGGACAGGCCAGGGTTGGGCCATGCCATTTGGTGACACTGGCACCCCGTTCTGCCCCACTGGGTCCCTGTGCTCACGTGCCATCCTCATTGCTACGATAGAAGACGAGGAAAGGATCGGATTTTCCAAAAAAGTCCTTCTTATCCAGCTTGTTGGCGCACAGCTGCATCGTGACGATGTCCTGGGGACAGGGACTGTCACTGCCATCCACCTCCTCACCCCTGGCACCAGCAGCTTCTGTACTGAGGGACCATGCAGCCCTCCCCACACTGCAGCTGGTACACGGGTACTCACCCGGCAGTTGCTCAGCTCCTCGGCCAGCAGCAGGATGGTCCCACACCGCTTCCCTGGGACACCCCTGGAACCAGAGGCACATGGTCAGCTTGGGGACAAGGACGACAGTTCAGGGGCAAGAAGTGAGGTGATATGGGGCTTCTGTCCCACAGCTGGTGGTGCTTGGCAGTATGACCAGTACCAGGACATGCAGGGAGAGATCCAGTGGGGCAGTGGTGGAGACACAGTGTGGGACCCTCCCACCTCACCTCACCACATGGTGTTACTCACGTTAGGGGTCTCTCCAGGCGTCCCCGCTGGGACCCAATCACCTCTCCCAGTGCCACAAAGGCCTGACCCAGGAAGTCCTGTCCCCCAAACAAAGCATTGTGAGACCCTGGAGGGCTGTTGCTCCAGTCCCCCACGACCCCCACCCACCACTTTCTCTCCCAATGCACCATGCAATCTGACCTGCCATAAACTTGGCTCTGGGTCACCCCAAGTTTCCTGAACCTACACTGTGACCCAAGAGCTACCTCGCAGTCCAGGACCCATTGTGCATCCCCAGGACTACCCCAGGTGCCCACTACATGTGCCTTACACTCATTCTGTGCCCCCAAGGCCAGCCCACATCCCTGGACACATCCTGTGTCCCCCCTCAAACTGCCCTACATGCCCTGACCTGTCCTGGACCCCTTGGGCCACCCTAGACCCATCCTACTCCTCAAAAGCCAACCTTACAGAGTGTCCTGGCCCCATCCTGCCCCACCAGGCACTCCCATGAGGGCTGGGTTCCCAGGGCAGAACAGGGGCTGGTGTGGGGCAGGTACCTACCTTCTGCCAGTCCCCATGGGGCACAGAGAGATGAAGAGCAGGTTAGAGCCTTCCAAGGGGCACTTATCCCCCCAGACAGCACCCACACAGGGCACAGCCTCGGGGTGTCCCACCATGGCGTCACACCGAATCCCCCCGGCACAGGCTGTGCTCACCTGCTTTAAAGCGGAGCAGCTCTTGGAGTCCATGTTGTAGCTGGTGTGGGAGAGCAGAGCCCTGAGCTGGTGCCTGCAGGGATGCTCCAGCACACAGCCCCACTTCCCCACCCATCTGGGCTATTCAACACTGTATTCTTATTTATTATCCTTATTTGTTACTGACTCGGTGCTTTGTTCCACCCTCAGTGGGGCCAAGCCCTTCCCTGGCCACCCTACTCACACATCAAAGCGGAGGTTTTGCTTCTCCTCGAAGTAGTAGTCGAGGACAAACTTGCGGACAAAGTCGGGGTTCAGGGTGTTGTCGATCACCTCGGTGCGTCCGAACTGGAGGGAGAGGGGTGAGGGTGGCCCCCCCCAGGACCCGTCCCCATCGCAGCTGCCTCGGCGCTAATCCCGGTGGGGGATTAGCGCTGCTGGCGGGGCCGGATCATTAGCGTGGACGGGGAGGGATCATTAGCGTGGACACGGGTGGCCATATGGACCCGTTTAACCGAGCGGGGGATTAGCCAGGAGAGGGGGCCACGCTCACCTCCTTCCACTCGCTGCTCCCCGAGACCTGCACATAGAGGACTACCACTGCGGAGAGAGGAGCAGAGCCAGGCTGCCGTGCTGTACCATGTCTGTGCCATGCCATGCCATTCCCCCTGCCTGGCTCTGCCACCCACCTGGGTCGGATTTGGAGAAAGTGTCCATGTCCAGCAGGTTCCTGGGGGAAAAGCCAGCCGTGAGCCACTCTGAGTGCCACCCACTTGCCCAGCAACGGGTCCCTATGTCCATCTCCCTGATCTCAGGTCAGCACCATGCCAGAAGGCCATTGCCGGCACCCATGGATAAGAGCATCTGCACTGCCAAGGAGACAGGCTGGCTCCCTCTGCAAGGCTCGGTGGGGCAGCAGGGCGAGCGGCGAGCAGCGTCTCCAGCGCTGATGATGATTGAACATGACAGGGAACCCATTTACAGGATGAAACCTTCCCCGATGCCGCCGGCTCCGGCTGAGTGCCCACCGGGCCCCGGCAGCAGGAGCTTGGCTAATGGCAGGGTGTAGAAGTGAGAAGAAAGGAGACACTTGGAGCAGGAGCTGAGCAGCCAGTGGGCATCCCCCGACACACCTACCGGCAGAGCGATTGATCCTCGTCCTGTGCGCGGTGTGACACCGGAAAGTGCCAGGGGATGTTACCGGCTCTGCTGGGATACTTCCCGCACCCCCGGGGTGGCAGCACAGGGTGGGATGGGGCAGGGCCGGGGGCTGCGGGGCTAAGCCAGCTCCCCTGGCTTCAGCACGCAGAGGAGAGACCCCTCCCTGCTCTGGGTCCTGGGGCTGCGAAGCCGAAGGCTGCCCCTGCCCTGGGTTGTCTCCAGGTGTGACCCTCGGTCCCTGCCTGGAGCTGCCCGGTCCCGCGGCCCCATAGTCCCTCTGCCTGGTGTCCGGCAAGCCGGCAGCGGGGGCCAGGGCTCAGCCGCGGGGAGAGGGCACGACAGCCCCCGGCCCGGCCCAGAGTTTGCATAGCTCAGAGATGTGCTGGAGGTACCCATCCCGGTCGGGGCGCTCCGTGCCACAGGACCCACGGTAGGGGGATGCCACCCTCCAGCAGGACGCTGGTGCCTGTCCCTGGGAGCGGGACCCCCGGCCGCGAGCAGCGGTGCCTCCAATGAGCTATATTTAGCAGCCGGCAGACCGGCTCATCCGCCGCCGCTTGACCGGCGGACCCTGGCCAGAAGCTGGGGCACAGAGCAGCCCTTCTCCCGCAGTCCCCATCCAGCTGCCACGTTCCCGGTCCCGTCGCCTTGCACCGAGCTCGCCGAGCCGGGCAGCCGCTCGCATCAGCGCCGGCACCCCGCGCCCCGCCGGCATCACCCACCTGCCACAAACATCGCCCCGCGAGCGGCCGTCCCGCGCCCCAGCCCCGGGTGAGAGCATCGGGTCGCTTCACGCAGCCGTGCTCAGTGACAGCATCCCATGGGACCCCAGGAAGGGGACGGGACGGGTAGCAGCAGGGCAGAGGGACGCTGGGCATATGCTCTGGCACCGAGAGCTACCCGGGGAGAGAGGAGGACGCGCAGCTCACAACGCCTCGAGCGAGGGGCTGACCGGCGGGCAGCGGGACGCAGCGAGCAGCCTCGCAGCGCATCCCGGTGCGTTTCGCACCCACTCGTGTCCACGGACTAGCCGCCGCCCTCCCGCTCCCTCGCCCGGCTCCCGGCTCACCGGCAGGACACGGTGAGCTCCACCTTGGTGCCCGGCACGCTGCCGGCCGCCGGCTCCAGAGCTCCCGGAGCCGCCATCCCCGCCCGGGCGCCGCCGATGCTCCGCGCCGCCTCCTCCCGCGCCGCCGAGGAGGCGCGCCCGGGGGCGGGTACGGCACGGGCACGGCGCGGCTCGGCTCGGCTCGGCACAGGCACGGCTCAGCACATCTCGAGCACGACGGCCCTTCCCTGCCGGCAGCGGGGGCACCAACCCGGGCACCAGGGGGTTCGGCTCCTGGGGCTCAGCTCCACCGGAACGTCCCGCCCGCGATTCC